TTTAATAATATATAAAAATAATAAATAAGGTGTTTGTGTATCATAACCCTTTTTAAATAGTGGTGTGGGTCCTATTAAGTGGGAAAAGGTGAAGGTGCAATAAATGGGAATTAGGAAAATCATATGTGGAAAAAAAAATGGCCAACTCTTTGTTTTTTTTTCTTTTCTTTTCTTTTCCTACGTCATTAGTTTTTTTGAGAAAAAGAATGAATTTCCGGCCATTTAACGCAGAAGGACCAAATTGGTACTAAAAAGGCAAGCTCAAGGATCATTTGAGTGCTTTTCAAAGATCAAGGACTATTCTTTTGCATAAATCTGAAAGTTGACGGACTATTTTGGTATTTTAATCTTTTTTTGGTAAATTAGTTCTATGTACTGGTTAGAAGAGTCGATCCTAGAGTCTCTGTTGATGGGTTGAATAAAATAATATGAATTATGATGATTTGGTGTGAAAAGGTGCTCTAATATTTATAAAAATTAAAAATCCAAGTTATTTCATTATAACATTTATGTTTAAGGCGTGGGTGTTATTTAGTTTATTTACTATAGTTAATTTCTTAATCCATTTTCTGAATTTTGAGGCACAAATGCAGGACACTGGAATGTCAGGAAAGACAACGGTAGCATTCCTCAATTAAGAGGTGTAAGATGTTTCTCATTTGAGGAGCTTAAGAAATATACAAATAACTTTTCAAGAACCAATAATATTGGATCTGGGGGTTATGGAAAGGTATTTTTTTTTTTCTCTTCCTAAAAGTGAAATGATGATTTTCTCTTAAACAAAATTGTGTTACTAACTTTTTTGCATTTTATCTGATAATTTTACAACATGCATGTATTGATCTTAGTTACTATAGATACAAACGTATGTAACAATCTTATATGCATATACAGAGCCACAGATTTAAGGTTGCGAAACACTTGTTTTGCCGTCCAAAACTCCGTGATATGCGTTTCTTCAATTTATTGCTACATGGTGGTGTAACACTCATTTCTCTTTCCAAATATATAAATTGAAGAATACATAACATGTGTTTGATTACATATTTAAGGTGTAAAGAATAGTTGACACAATAATGGGACATCACTTCAAAACTTTGAGGTTTTATCTTTGTAAAAGGTTCAAATTCTAGTTTAGTACCTTGGACTTATTTAGTTTGTTTTATAATTTCAAGAGGTTGTTTTCTTATTTAGTTTGGAGTTTTGGCTTATGGTTTTGTACCTTATAGATTGTCTTTTTAGAACATCAATTGGACTTGATGAATTGAAAATATTTTTCAAAAAAAAAAAAGAAAAAAAATCTTTTACTTCTCGTCTCACCTTTGCTTCTCTTTCTCTTGGTTCTACACCACACAGTCACTGCATATATTCAAAATGTTGGCTCACAGTCCATGAGCATTTGTGCAAACCAACAAATAGCACCTTCTCTCAAAGCACATTGATAATGCAAAATTTCTTGTGTTTTGCTTTCACTACTAAAAAAAAATTACTCCCTTTGTCTCAAAACAATTGAAATTATTTTATCTTCAAATTTGGAGATAATTTATATTTTTGCCTATATTACCCTTCAAAAAAAATAAAGGTAATGTGTGATTTCTTTATGATAGGATGGCTAATTAAAATCAAGAATAATGATAAGGTTAAAATAGAAAAAAATATATATCTTCGCTAAAATATAAAAAAATGACAATTAATCTAAAGTGGAGGGAGCAATGTAATAGGAGAAGGAATAATTGGCAAATTAACCCTTCTAAAAAATAATTTTCACAAAAAATAAGCCCTTGATGAAACTTTAGTGGCTAACCACCCTTGAACTTACCAATAGCAGCAAATCTCTCCAAAGTGATGGAAAATGTTAGTCAATATTGGTCAAATTATAATTTATAAGATGTGGTGTGATAGGTTGATAAACATTAGCCAACAATGTCTATCAACTTTGAGGAGATGCTGTTATTTGTAAGTACAAGTATGGATTTGCCACCAAGGATTCATTAAGGGCTTATTTGCTAGTACAAACTATTTCTAGAGGCTTATTATAAAAGAATAGCACCAATTAGCAGTTTTAGTTGAAAAATTGTATTAAAAATGAGGGTGGTAATATGTGTATAACCTTTTTGTGTAACTTTTACATAAAATTAAATGAGTAGATGTATATAATATCATGGGTCTCAATAGAATGAAACTATATATGCAATGTAATCAATGCTATGCTACTAAGTAAATCATGAACATGAAGTGATTAATATAATCAAGTTAACTTCAAATTTTTGTAAATCTAGTAGGTTATTGCCAAAATAACTTCAACATTATCATTCCTTTTCTCTAATTCATATGTTTGTCTTCAATTGTTATGTGTCATATGATTCTTAAACTTTCAGTGTTCAATCAATTACAGGTTTATAGGGGCACTCTTCCCAATGGAGAGCTAATTGCGATCAAACGAGCCCAACAAGGATCAATGCAGGGTTCGTTGGAATTCAAAACAGAGATTGAACTTCTATCTAGAGTCCATCATAAGAATGTTGTTAGTCTATTAGGATTTTGTTTTGAGTGACATGAACAAATGCTAATATATGAATTTGTTCCAAAAGGGACTTTGCATGAAACTCTATCAGGTATGTTCCTCCATTTCTTACATTATTGACCCAACATGAATTACTTAACGAGTTAGACAAGACATATTTTTATAATTTATATATTATTGTTACATGTTGTCTATAGGAAAGTCAGGAATCATATTGGATTGGATTAGGCGACTCAAGGTAGCCCTTGGTGTAGCTAGAGGCTTGGCATATCTGCATGAATTTGCCAATCCTCCCATCATACATAGGGACATTAAATCGGCTAACATACTATTGGATCAACACCTTACTACTAAAGTTGTCGATTTTGGTCTTTCCAAGCCTATAGATGACAGTGGAAAGGGCCATGTTACCACTCAAGTCAAAGGTACAATGGTGAGTGCTTTTGTACACCCACTTCTACGTCATAAGAAAGATTTCTTGTCTTCCACATAAATAATGGGGATTAAGAAGCAACAAAGGTTTTTGCTGATCATAAAAAAGATGCAACAAAGCTTATATGTGATCAATGAAGTTTATCTTTATAGATAATAGTAGCATGATGTTTAATTAAGAGGTTCTCTAGAATGATTCAATGATAAAAGTTATTCAGCCATATTTCATTAGCTTAGATCCATTAGTTACATGAAGTATATTCACATTTTAGATTCTATGTTAGTTCACTTCAAAGATTTAGAATTGTATACAAGCTAAATATTTTTGAAAATTTTGAGTATAACAAATTTATAAGAAAGAAAAGAGAAAGCTTTAGTTTAGTGATGATTCTTTACTATGCTAGAAGAATTTCAACATGCTTGTGGTTTTTGTTATTGGTGTAGGGTTACATGGATCCTGAATATTATATGACCCAGCAGCTAACTGACAAGAGTGATGTTTATAGTTTTGGGGTGCTTTTGTTGGAGCTAATAACTGCAAGAAAACCAATAGAGCAAGGCAAGTATATTGTAAAAGAGGTGAGAATGGCAATGGATAAGGCAAAAGACTTGTATAGTCTTCATCAAATTCTTGACCCAGCCATTCTGGATACAAGCCTAAAAGGTTTAGAAAAGTTTGTGGACCTAGCAATGAGCTGTGTGGAAGAATCAGGAGTTGACAGGCCTAGAATGGGTGAAGTAGTAAAAGCGCTTGAAATCATCATGCATATTGCTGGGATGAATCCCAATGTTGAGACACCCACAAGTTCAGCAAGTTATGAGGAGGCATCTAAGGGAAATCATCCTTTTAGCGATAAGTCCTTTGATAATAGTAGTACATTTCTAGCTTCAAATTAAGGTTTGAACATGTATTGAGTTTAATTTTAGATTTTGGAGCAGTGAACAACTTCTGTGTCTAGCATTTAGTTTGACAGGAGGATCTATATATGTGTGAGTGAAAATTAGAACACCCTAAAACTTAAAATATCATAATTGTCTCTAAAATTATTTAAATACTTTTAATAAATCTTCTTTACATGTTGATTCATTAAGAGTATTTAAATATTTTCATAGGCAATCTGGTATTTCAAAAATATTTATATATGTGTGTGTACAAGTATGTTTTGTATTGTATCTCTTTCGTTTGTTCCAAACTGGAATGGATAGATGATGGCAAACAATTGTGTAGAAAGATCCTAAAATGCTTTAGGAGCAATGTTGCAGTGAGGCAAACTCTCCCACTTCTATTTTTGGTGTTTATCATATTCTTAAAACCACATCATCAAATAATTATTTCTTCTATTTTAAAATAATTGTTTTTTTTATCAGAAAAATAATTGTTTTTCTTTTTAATTCAAAATTTGGTCCAAATTAATTATTATTAGTTAGATCCAAAGAGAGATTTTTACTTGTACCTTAAGATCATAAATTAAAAAATTCTGTAAAATAAATAATTAAAATTAGTTTAAAATAATAAATTTATATTTTTAATAAATTACTATGTGAAAAATATTTGCACCCAGTATTGACAAACAAGCAGTCACATTTTGGTCTTTTTCCTTCAAGCAGTCTCAACTAGAACTAAAATACCATTAATAAATCTCTATAAATTATTTATAAATAATTTTTTAAAGTGACAATATTTGCCAAACTCAAAATGTAACTACAGTGTGAAAACTGAATTTGTGAGACCAGTATTGGAATGGATTCCACAGTTGTTAAGAATAGCAATCAATATATACAAACATATATGTGGTGATGAAATTTACGAAAGTTACTCATTGAACTTTGCGTTTTGTTTGTTGAGATTATTATTATTGTCAGATTACAACATAGAAATTTACATGTCACTGCTACATTACAACTCTGCTGCTTTATCCGATAACTTGTCTGAAAGGTTAGCTATGATGAAACCTGCAAAAACCTGTATCCAACAAAATTTGATGAATGAAGTCCGTCATTCACATACTACTAGAAGACATGAAGGCTGTAATTGAAGTTATGATTGCCACAAGGACAACTTTTTGGTTCTTCAATTTGGTCTAAAGATACCGGACAGAACATTTGGATTAAAAATGATATTGAAAGTAAGCTTGCATATACCAGAACGCAGCCGAAGATGTAGACTGCAGAGAAGTGACGGCCGTGTGTAACCATGTCAGCTACCATTGCAAGGGGTGTTGTCAAGGACATACCTAGAGTTGCAACTAATGGACTTGTCCAAACAACAGAAAGGCCCTCCTTTTTTTTTTTTTTAAAGTAAAAATAAATAAATAAATAAATATTCTAAGTTTCAATCTTATAACATGCCTATTATGCAACCTGAACTTTAAAATAATAATAATAATTAATATATTTATAAAAAATTAAATAATAAAAAAATGTTATCAAAAAAAGATAAAAAAATAAAAAAAATTAACCGAAAAAGAAAAAAAAAAAAAACCAAGTGTGCCAGTTCATTTGAAGACTTAACGACCTCTCCTCGGTTGGATCTGTCTGCAAACTAAAGACTCATTTCATGTTCAATATCAAGCTCAATAACAAAATTTGTACTCTTGAACTACTCCAAATAAAAAGAAAGCAAAAAGGAATAAAACAGAAAATTGTTACCTTGAAGGCAACCATGAATGATAATCCATCCACTAATAGTTTGTTTGGGTTGAGTGGAATGGAGAGGAGGGGAATAAAGTCTTTTGCTTTATTCTTTCATTTAATTTATTAATTTATCCAAATGAGAAGAGGGGAGAGGAGGGGAATGGAGGGATACAATTCCCCTCCCTCCATTTCCCTCAACCCAAACATACGGTAAGTTGTATGGAAATACATTCAACGTATATATCATCCCACATAACGAAGACTATGATTTGTAAGATATAGGAGAATCAATGGCATGTTCTTTAGACTGACACACTTCAAGCAACCAAAAATAGGTTGCAAGTCTAATCTGCTTCTGTGAGTTATGTGATTAAGATGAAAAGCCGCCTCACTACAGAGGATTGCCTCCACCTGAATACTCGACTTCCTGAATTGAACAAAGAAATCATACAGTTAGTGAAAAGTTACTGAATGCTTTGAAATTCCATAAAGAACAGAGAGTCACAGATTTTATTTAGTAAATAACATTGATTCTGTATAGCCAAAATAATAATAATAATAACATGGATTCTGAGAACCACTCATGATTAATTTCTGCCCCACTAGAAAGATATCAACAATGGAATTAACAAAAGAAAAAGGAACATAGAAGTTTCCTGTGTACCGAACCTCTATTAGTAAGCCCAATTCAAAAGTTATTCCTATGATGATCGTCTTTCATATCAGGAAGCCATCTTAATTTGAACAGAAAGAGAATGTTTGCCCTTTCCACCTCCACCTCCTAACACCCAAAGATCTTATTTCTACCAAGGAAAATGAAAATACCAGTTACAAAGGAAGCAAGAGGAAGAAATGACAAACCTGGGCAGGGGGTAACGAAGACACCCAGCCTGATGCATGTATCGGAAGAAGCCCCAATGTGTTAAGCTGCCAAAATTGAATTAAATATGAAAAATTGAGAATACTGGAGGCAGCAAAGTTTACTCAATAAATCTTCTTTCCTTTTTCTTTATCCTCCCTTCCAGTAGTATCCATTTTGAGAGACAGCCCATTTTAAAAATAGTAGGTAAATATATCCTAACCTCCAAATACCAGGAGCTAGACCCCCCAAATTAAGGGCAATGAAGAGCAGCTGGGGACCAAGAAGATCTACTTTACTGTCTTTATAAGGCTCAAAACCTGCAAACTATCAAAGTCAAGTTTGGATAAATGAACTTGAGGAGTATATACAAATATCATGCAGGTGCCAAATATCACTTGCAAAATTAGATCTAGAAATTGATGCTATGTGAAGCTCACAATGGGTAACTTACATAACCTGAGATGTGGAAGAAAGAAAAAATAACAGACTTAATTATATCGAACAAAGAAATAATCATCTATTGTGTCCAGCTTACCCTATCCAACCCCTTGCAAAGCACTTATAGGCTGCCAAAGAGCTGAAAATGTGATGCCAATGCTAAAGAGATGTACTGTGCTGCCAGCCATCCACATCATGAAGCCCATCATCTTCAAATTCTTAAAAGGCCCTTGTCCCACTTCCCAAGCTTTCTGTTCAAACAAAAAGGGGGACAAATATTTTCAGTAGCCTACTTTTCCTTGGCCAAGATATTTTACTTCCAGATAGAGCATATACTATCTCCACATCAAATATTAATTTCCCTTTGTCACAAAGCCAAGATATGTCTATCTTTCTCGCCAACTCTAAATCAAATTCAGTTTGATAACCAAACCCTGTCTTACAATTGGGAAATATAAGTTGCTGAAATTTAGATCTTGATGTCCTGCTGTCCCACCAGTTAACATCTATCGTCAGATTAAGAATTTATCTCCTACTTTTACAGACTACAAGCACAGTGGTGTATAGGAATTAAACTTTTTATAGTCACAAATACGTCCATTAGTACTTGTTCTCATTGTTTGTGAATACAACCACAGGCTACAACATTTCACAACTTCATTTGTCCCCACTGCAACTTCAATTGATGTGCAGTCCTCAACTTCTTAGTTTATCAGTTAATCAAATTAATAGTCCACTCAGTGAATCATTTCATTTCATCTTACCTCAT